GGTGTCGCAGAGAAATTTAGAACTCTCTGGACCCGTCCTCCCTCAGGCAAAAATACCTCTCGCTCAAGCGAGGATATTAGAAAAACTATTGTTTATTTAGCTCACTTAAGCGAGAAAGAGCTCGCTTAAGTGAGGTGTGCTCGCTCAAGTAAGAGCCCACTCGTTCAAGCGAGATCGCGTGGGTTTAAAGGGTATTTAAGGACTTCTACATTGAAAAATTTCACTTCTCACCAAAATCACTTCTCTTCCTCTGATATCTCTTTGATCTTTCCCTTTCCCATCCTAGAGAAAACCCTCAATACTTCTGGATCTCTGCTATTGGTGCTCTAACGTCCATTCTTCTCGAATCTAAGTAAGTTTTCGAAGCCAAACCTTCGAATCTAATTTCTATTTCTGAGTTTTTCTCCTTTTGATAATCTATTTTGTGACGTTAGAAAGAACGCTAGTTTTTGGAGAGATTTACCGATTAAAGCGAGAAGTTTCTCTTAGAGTTCACAAAGAACTTAGTGTTCAGACTCATTTCAAGGTAAGGGGAGTATTCTCAAGCTTTAGTCGTATTTCTATATGTAACAACCCGATAAGAATCTGAGTAACCTATTTCGGTAATAATCTCTGAGATTTTTATGAAAACATATAGTAAAAGTATGTTTTTGATATGAAGAAAAGTATTGGGTTTGTTTGGAAATGAGTTAAGTGATGAAAGATGGAGAATATTGAACTCTAGGTTAGAAGACCTTATTGAAACTGAGAACATATGACAAGTAATTAAGTATTATGAGACTGAATGATTTGGGTTGAGTCTGATGGTGTTCGAACCCCGGCGTATTTTGTGATAAGGTGTTACTGTATTATCAATGTTTTACTAAAATATTATGAATATGTTGATTGTGTGAAATTGGTGCTAATGTGTTTTTGTATGATAAATGTGTAATGAAGTAATATAACATAGTAAATGTATTGAATTGCATGATGATGTGGTATGATTTAAGTTGATGTACTGAAATAAAGGAATTTGAGGATTATTTGAATGTAATAAAGTTAGGGAATACTGGGAAGAAGAAGAGACGTATTAATATAAGAATCAGAATTTGGATAGTATATATATGAATTACTGAATATGTTTTTATAGATATTCTAATGAAAAAAAAAGACGAAAATGGAATACTAGTACATGTGTTACAAATACACTAATTGATGCGATTATGATATTTGAGTTGTAGTACATCGACGAGTGAGATTATAACTCATATGTTGTAATACATCGATTAGTATAGTTGTTACATATGTATTAGAATAATATAATGTGATGTGCCAAGTTTGAGATATGGTATAGATAGTTCAGGAATACACTGGGGTATGGGGTCTAGAGTTGATTGTGAAAATCTGGAAAAAATGAAAGTAGTAAATGCAGTTCACTAATGTGTACACAATGTAAAAGTGAGAAGCATTTATAGGCTTCACGCTCATTTCTTGACCGACTCCTAACTATACCTTTGTTTAGAAGGCCGTGAACACACACGTTGTATCCGTGTGTAGTTTGGCTCACCAACGACTATCTATGCTGTGTAAGTCCTTTGTAACTAGAGAGAGTACGTTGACAGCGATTTAGGAGCCCGAGAGTACCTAAAGTACCGTTGAATTGATGAAATATTCAAATGAGAAATAGATAAAGTGACACAAAGTTATGGATTGAATGATGATATCTGATTAAGTGCAAAGTAATGTGGCATGAAATTATGGATTGAATGATATTTGGCTAAATATAAAGTGATATGTCTTCATGTCTTGTGATTGTGTGTTTATGTAAGAAGTTAAGCTTGGAGGAAATTGATGTAAATGGATTAATTATTTCTTAAGAATAATAGAAGTTATACTGCATATGTATGCTAGAAGAAGTAGAGAATGTATAAACCTTGAATAGAAATTTAGAAATATATTGAAATCAATATGAAAAGAGGAATGAATTGAATTATAGTATTATACAATGAGAAATGGATGTTAATTAGTCAAATGATGATTAAATTTGTTAGAAATGGAATGTATTTGATTTATTGTATGCATTGTTTCCTTTATGTTATAATTTAAGATTTAGTGGGCAAGAGATGCTCACCCTTACAACTATTTTTCAGGTAAAGAATGTTTGTTCGTTCTAGGGTCATACTCGCAAGGAGTGATAGGAAGAGAATTGCTTTGAAGAGTTTAATTTATTTAATGGAAATTTGTAAAGATATTAGTGAATATTTTCTATTCAAAGTCATTTACCTTATATAATTATATTAATGAAAGTTTTAATTTGGAGTTAAAGCATATTGATAAATTTGCTGAGAAGAATTATTAATATGATAGTTTAGATTGTTTTAAAATTAGATTTAAGAATCTTGAAATGTATATATGAGGTTTAAATTTTTCACCTTTTCTTCAAATTAGAATCTAAGTATTTAGAAACATTTTTTTTACATTTATCTATCTTTTAACTGTTTATATAAAATAATTTATGACATTTTGATAAGTCTGTAATTAGGCCATATTTTACAGCCCATATATTCATATTTGACCTTTATTTTATTTGGTGCTCACACTAATTTATATATTAATTATGCAGTTTGGTATAAAGATGCCGCAAGTATACTTTGGGTGTTTTTAGGGCCCAAATTGATAGAAGATTAAAGCTTCGCAGCGGTCAGCACGCCTAGACCTTTTCATCAAGCATGAGGTGCTTTGAGCCCATGCACGGTCGTGCTTAAGGCCTTACACGACCGTGCTTATCTGCAAGAAGCCTAATTATCTAGAGTCTTTAGGGTTTTCAAACTCTATTAAAAGGAGACCTCAGGCATCGTAAAGGACACCGTTTTTTACATCTAGTCTTTGGCTTTCAGATACACTTCTCGTCTCTTTTCTCTTGCACGGGATCCTTGGCACATGCTTGTCGAGACTTGGAGCTTCGAACAATTGTACTTGAAGACCGGGAACTCATTTCATTCTAGTTTGCTTTTCTTTATGGCTTTGTTTATGATTGTTTTAGTTTTTTCTTTAGTATGAGTAACTAAGCCCATAGTTAGGGCTATGAGAACTATTGTTTATGAATTTATGAGATTTTAACGTTTGAATCTAAATTTGATTTCCGTTTCGTGATTATATTTTATCCTGTTGTGCTTCTCTCTTAATCCTAATTAATTATATCGTCAAGCGACCGTACCTCGGTTAATTAATAGATCTATAGGGTAAAACGAGACAAAGGATTAGGTGTACCAAACTAATCTTTCTTTTCTAATTGTTATTAAATTAACAAGTTCATAGGTTCCTTAAGCTTTCTCAAATTGATGTCTTGCATGAGCATTGAGGATGTTAATTTAGAGAAAAAAAAATTAATATTACATGACCATTGGGTATTAATAGTATTCATATGAATGATTGGTAATCACAAGGAAATCAGATTTAGAGTTAAGCAGAAAAATAACATAAAGAATTAAATGAGAAAACTCATATGCCCTAAGTCCACATGTAAGTTCGGGTCTCAGAATTGCTAAAGAGGTTCACTAACTCTTAAAGAGAATGCCTGAACCACATTCCTACTTAATGCATCAGCCAGCGCATTAGCTTTTCCTGGATGGTATTGGAGCTGAAAATAATAATAATAGAAGTTAGTGTAAAAATAACCACTCATAAATATATAGGCTATAAAATCATGTTAAAATACAGACTTATCACTGAACCTAAATTTAACTTCTTAGTTACTTCCAATTGAGCTTATTTTGGCCCAAACCCATATAAATTTGACCATTGATTGGCCTTAATCCCATTATTGGTGCTAATTGGTTTCAAGGACGAAGTTTTAGTGTTGAATGATTGGACTATACAAGGCATTTGTGGAAGTTATGTGGCAGCTAGCTGTTTGTAGCATTGCTTGAATGTTTACTTTGTAGAGGAGGATGACTTTGTAAGGAGGTTCATAATGGCAAAGATGACATTAATAGCACTGTCGCTTTCGCAATGGAGTTCTATATTAAATTTTGTCATATTAACTACTAAACCACACTACAAGACACCTCTCATCAAACGTGCAAAACTATTACCTTCTCACTAACACATTATTGCTACTATTCTAGCTACTTTATACACAAATTTAAGTCACAACCACATCTAATCACATATCCATAAAATAGAAGCTCCAAGTCCTTTGCCAATCCCAAAACAACCACACTTGATCATCCTCACCAAAAGGCTACTACTAACAATTGCCATATCTAAACCTGCAAGCTAACACCCAAAACAAAATTAACTCATTATAATCATTGTTGCTGAACTCAATGACTAGCATGACATTATGATAATATTATCTTTTGTCATCACTGTCACCTTTTACTATCATGTAAGGCGTCATTTTCACCTCCATTAATGGCTCATCCTCTCACTCTATTTCCAGTGAACACTAGTTGCAATACATTTCTTTTTAAATGTGTTTGAATGATTTATAATTATAAAAAATAAAAAAATTATCAATATTTTTGTTAAGGCTATAATATTTTACAAATGTTATATATATATTAGACCACGTAAAAAGGAATGGTACATATAAATTACTTTGAAAAAATATATAATTTTTAAAGATTTTAATTAAAATATTATCATTTAATTATAAATTATTATCTTATTTAAAATTATTTTTTATTATATTTTTTAAAATGTATATTAAGATAATTAATAATATAAAAATTTATATTAGTAGTATGAAAAATTAACTTTATCTTTAAAACTATTTTATTAAATTTTCAATTATAACAGTGCAGCCCATATCGTTGACGTGTACGTCTCACTCTGTTTGTTGAGTATCTTTATCTGTATATTGCTTTGTTCTCTTTCTTTCTTGTCTCTTCCCTTAACTTATCCTCATTCTCTTTTATTTTTCCCCCTTTCATTCACCATACGTACAAAATACAATAATACATACATACGTACACAGAAAGAGTATAAATAAATACTAATAAATAAATGGAATTAACAGAAACAGATGCCAAAGCTCTTTCCTAACCCAACAATATCACAACCCAATCTCTGTTTATCTTAAATCCAAAAGCAAGTTCGTTCTCTTTCTCTATGTCTCGGTTCTTTTCCGCATGGAACAAGAAGAAATTTCACCTCAACTTGATACCCACACTTATTTCTTCTTCTTCTTCTTCTTCTTCTTCTTCTTCTTCATCACACACCCACTTGAAGAACCACTTCCACCACAACATCAATGGCCATGGTCAATGGAGACTACGTCTATATAGTAGTGGTAGCAATGGGGAACCACCAGAGGATTGGGCTCATACTGTACCTCCTAATGCTATGCATACTGTTAATGTTATTCGGGCTTCTGGGCCCCCAGATGCGAACACTGCCTGGGTAGGGGGTTCCCATTTGGGTAGGGATTTGCCAACTCCAAAGCAAATTTGCAAGGGTCTTGACAAGTTTGTTATTGGCCAACACAGGGCCAAAAAGGTAAATGACACCACTTTTTCTATTCAGTGAAAGCTAAAGAATTGAAGACAGATGACGAGTGTTAGATAGATGATGTTGTTTGAATATTTATGAATTAAAGTTGTTATATTCGGTGCTTTGTCTAGTGAGCTAATGGTAATGATGTTTGTTGATACTTATCATTGCTCCTCGTGATTCCTGAAGAAAAGGGGCTCTGAGTTTGTTATCTTGTTAGCCAGGGTGAATGCAATGCTCTAACTTATGGCCTTTGATTGTAATTCCGTTTATGATTTGTGTTTGTGTTGAAGGTGCTATCTGTGGCTGTTTATAATCACTATAAAAGAATATACCACGCCTCTTTACTGAAAGGGTTAGTTCTTTCACTTTCCCTGTCATTTTTCTTAATTCCTCTTTCTTAGTCCTCCAGCTGCTATTCCGGTATACTTCCCATATGCACCTGTCCACCCGTCTTCATATGTTACAGTATCATAGTTTATTCTTTTGTAGTAATTGTTTTCTATGACTGAATTGGTGATGTTAATACTAGGTCAGGGGAAGAAGATACAGGAATTTCTGAAGGATTTGATGATGATGATCATGTGGAGCTAGAAAAGAGTAATGTTCTCTTGATGGGTCCAACGGGCTCAGGTATGGCATTCAGTACTGCTACTTTCTTTTCCCTCTTAGACATTAAGTGAGAATTATTGAATTCACTTTGTTTGCTCTTATCGGTATCTTAAATTTATGCATGACCACTATGCTAGTCTAATTTCCATCAAACAGGGAAGACATTACTTGCAAAAACACTAGCACGTTTTGTGAATGTCCCGTTTGTCATTGCTGATGCTACTACCTTAACACAGGCAAGTATGTGTTCATTGATGAAGTAATGTTAAGATTTGGCAGAGTAAGAATTTGGCAGGATCAAGTTAAATGATAATAATCTATCCAAATTTTTGTGCCTAATATGTGAATTTCAAGTTGTTGAGTGATATGATATTATGTTAATTGGAATTCAAATTTTTATTCCAGAATGCGGACAGTCAGATAGTATTAACTATTTCTGATTTGGTTCCATGGCTGAGTTGAGGTTTTATTGCCCTTTGACAAAAGTTGTGAGGTTAATGATCTAAAAGAGGAAATGTTCTAATTTGCAGGCTGGTTATGTTGGAGAAGATGTCGAATCAATATTGTATAAACTACTTGCGGTATGTAAATTATTCTTTATAAGTATGATGTTGCTTGAACAAATTAATAATTCTTTGTTTTCTAGGAATGAAGCTGTCTATGATTTCCCAATATACTGGCAACTTTTAGCTATATTTGTTGTTTTGTTTGTTATACTCACTCATGCAGTTAGTGATGAATGGCTGCTCTTTGAATCGAGCTTTTTACCTTCACTACTTTGGAAACTTGGATGAAATTTGTACAAGTCAACCTAAATACCCTTACCACTTTATATTAGCTGGATAGAGGAAATGTTTAGCTTGTGCCTTAATTAATTTTGTTAAGAAACTTGAGTCTAACTCCCAAAATCCCAAAAACTAGCTCGTAAGAGGACGACCCCCTCACATCTAAGATTCAAATCAGATAGGCTTTGATACCATGTTAAGAAACTTAAGTTTAACTCACTCCCAAAAGCTAATTTGTAAGAGGAGGAGGACCCTAGCCTTTATAAATAGTATTCTGGCTCTATTTCTAACCAATGTGAGACATCTTAACAAATCTCACAGTGCTTCATATCAACTTACTTGTGTTGTACTTAGAACAATGCTTACTTGTTGTAGTGACATGTTATCCTTAGTGAATGCTTTTGTTTACTTTAGGTTTTATGTTTTCATACATCATCTAGGTTGCTCATTTCTTTAGATGTTTATTTTCATAAGTTTCTTGCTTTGTATTTTATACAAGCAGTTTGTTCTGCAATTTAAGTCACAATAAGAGACTTTTCTTTAAAATATCCACTCACCACCCTCCTTAATTTGCATAGCAGTTGCATGTATATATTGTGCTTTCTCCACAATTTTTTTTTATGAAATTTACAATGCTTCCCATATTTGTTTCTGAACTGATTTATGTAGTGATATTCCTGATATTAGTTGCTTTTCCTTGTTTCTATCTGTTGTGCTCCTTACATCATGCTTCTGTTTCCAGTATTGGTCATGGATTTTACTGAAATTTTCATGGGTTTTTTTCACTTTTCCTTTGTTTTTCTCTCCTCGATAAGTTAAATGATAAAGAAGCTTATGATCTTATATCCAAAGTCATGGTACTTTTCATCAGTCTAACTTCCCATATTGGAGAATCTGGACTGGTTTTCTCTTGCTCAACTATTTTGTTAGGAAACTATTGATAGTTTAACTTAAGCTGCTTGTCACCTGTGACAAAGGATTGTCCATGGTCTTTTTCAAGATGTGTTTCAATATAAATGTTTTCAGTAAAACGTTTTTGGTCATGTAATACTGCTATGTTCATACTACATTTGTGTTCTTTGCAATCTCTATGATGGCTGGAATACTTTTCTTATTAAACTCAAATTAAACATAATTTTAGATTTTTCTTTGTCAAATTTGTTTTTATACTTCTCAGAAGATATCTTATGCTGTTTCTAGTTCTACTTGCCATCTCTTTGTAATGATTTTTATTTTTCCCATATAGGCAGCAGAGTTCAATGTTCAAGCAGCTCAACAAGGGATTGTTTACATTGATGAAGTGGACAAGATAACTAAGAAGGTTTTTTGCTAACTTCATTGGCTGAGTTCATTTATGTGCATCCACCACAGCTTTTATTTTTTTAACTATTATATATTACAGGCTGAGAGCTTGAATATTAGCCGGGATGTTTCTGGTGAGGGTGTTCAGCAGGCATTGTTAAAAATGCTTGAAGGAACTGTAAGTGAAATGATTCCAAAATGCAGTTGTTGATAATTTGTTTACATGCTTTGTAAATGAAGTGCTAAGTGAATTTATTGAGTACTCTCTACTTTTATCTTGTTTAAAAGCCCTTAAATCTTAAGCAGAAGGTAATATCTTGTATATTCTATGTCCAAATTCTTCAATAGGATAAGTAATTTATTTGCATAGGTTCTCTCAGTGATTCCATTTTGATCTTCTGTTCCATTCCATTATACAGACAAGTTTATTTAACATATCGTTGGTGCATTAGTGGTCTTGTCAATTATGTTAAACAAAAAACAGTATATTCCTATGCTTTGTGTGATCTGAGTTCTGAGATTCAAAGGTGGTCAAACTGTCTATGGAGACTGTTCATTGAGAGGGAAAGTTTGGCTGCAAAGCTGTAAGATCTGCACTGTTGTATAGAATTGATTGTTGGGCATTAAAAGTCAACGAGAGAATAAATGCAATGTAGTAGATATGAGAATGTTGCATTGAATTAGTGGACAAAATAGGCAAGATAGGATTAGGAATCAAAGCATTATAGAGGAAGTAAGGGTGGCAACTATTGTAGAAAAAATGTTGGAATCTCTCCTTAGATGGTTTGCAGCTTTGCACATGTGTGAAGAAAACCTATAGAAGCCTTAGTAATGGTAGTAGATCAAATGGAGGGTTGCCAAATCGTTAGAGGCAGAGGGAGATTGAGAAAAACAATAGGTGAAACAATTAAGGATTTAAAGGTTAGTGGTTTATGTCATGAATCAATTCCCAAAAGCTTAAGCAATTGGGTGAAGACACATGAATGATTGTATATTATATCTCTGACTTGCCCCTCATGCAAGAGCCTTGTGGCTTGGAGTGTGGACAATGAAAACATATCAGCTGAAAATGAAAATAGAAAATGAGCCAAACATCCCCTATCCTTGAACTCCAAGTGAATGTGAGTGTATTTCGCCACTTAGTCCTTATAAGAGCTCTTAACTGGAACATGCAAATACTTTTTTTCAAATCACAGCAGCATTTTCTTCTGCATCAAGCAAACCTTGAAATCTTCTTTGCATAAAAAGAACATGGGATTAAAATTGAATTGTTTAAGTCTAGAAAAGCACCCCATTCAGTTGTAAATGTTTTTGAAAAAAAATAATTTGTTGTAGCATGGTTAGTGCCATTCTGACAGTATCCTGAAATTGGAATTATTTTTTATTGTGTAGATAGTAAATGTTCCTGAGAAAGGAGCAAGGAAGCATCCACGGGGTGATAACATACAGGTATGTTGTTTTGGAAAGCGTAACATCTGTCATTTCTTTTTCATGTTTGTATTTGGATATATGTTTAATTATTTTCTTGGCTAGGGTGTTTGTCGGTGCTGTCTTTAAATGCACACTTTATGCACTTAATATTTTGATTTATCTATCTTTTTGAAAGAGCTTACAATCACCTAGTTAGCGGATGAACTCCAATGAATAGAATTATTAGAGGCTATAGGTGGTTGGAAGGATATTTAGAAGGATGAGAATGCTAGATGGATTATTTCTTTAGAAACTCTTTCACCCCCTTAGCAAGATTTTGTCAATCTCAGTCAGCTTCAATGATCACCTATTTACCCAGTGCAGATGCATATGATTCTAGAACTAATTAGTCATTTGCTTTTTTTTTAAACACCTACTCATTTTTTACTATATGCAGATTGACACAAAGAACATTCTTTTTATATGTGGTGGAGCATTTGTTGATCTTGAAAATACCATTTCAGAGAGGTAATATTTATAATGTCTAGCAAGAATATCTGTTCGCAGATGTTCTGCATTTGGTTTTTGCTGGAGTTCTCATCAAATTTTAATTATTTATGAAATATACCAGACGGCAAGATTCTTCAATTGGTTTTGGAGCACCAGTTCGTGCCAATATGAGAACTGGTGGAGTAACAAATGCTGCAGTCACATCATCTTTACTTGAGTCGGTGAGAATTGACTCTAAATTTGACTGGATGTTTTTTTATTCCACTTCCTGTAAAACTAGATAGATCCTGTGAGCAATTAAAGCTAGCAAATTATGTGCTTAAGCTAATGTAATAAGATGCCTGTACTCTCCAAATGCATCTAAAAGTAGCATTAGTAATTTTCAGGTGGAAAGTGCTGATCTTATTGCATATGGTCTCATACCAGAGTTTATAGGACGATTTCCAATCTTAATTAGCTTGTCAGCTCTTACTGAGGATCAACTTATGCAGGTATTCTTTCATTGTTCATATCTTTGATTTTACTGTAGCTTTTTCTGCTTTCTCTAGCAGTATAGTGTGCCGACTGCCAAGGTCTAATTCTGCTTGTCTTGTTATGATGATCATGCTGTATTTTTCAATCATTGTTGACACACATGTATATGCAAAGCCAAGACACCATATGGTCTTTTAGCCCTATAATGGCATTAAATTTCTATGAATATCTCCTATTGTGTCAGGAGTTTTTTAATATATATATATATAAGCTAGATGTTAATATGATCATTGCCTTTTGAATTTAATAAATAATATAGTGATAGGGCCATCTGACATGTGCAAGCACTTGGTTCATATTTAGTTTGTGGGTTGCAAGAGGAACAAGAAATTTAGATAAGGATCCATCAGTCCCAGAATGCATTTGTAACTTGTTTCTGTTACGGATACACTGATCTTCTCGATACTCCTCTGTTATGGGATAAGATGACGTCCTTGCTAGTACTACTGGTTTTTCTCTGTTTGACGTAGGGAGAGTTTATACCTGCAAAAGGTACTCCAATGATAAAGTCAGGTGTCGGTTTAAGTAATAAATGTTATTAAATATTCGAAAGTCAACTCTTTACCTGTACCTTTTACCTTCTTTTTATAGGCAGTATTATGGATTAATGGGCTTTTTGTGGGTCAGTCTTGACTTTGACCCTCTAATTAGGTAAATAATGATCTGATTATTTACCTTAATTGGTTTAATTATTTTTTTAATTTATTCTTAATCTGACCGAGAGGATACTCGTCCTATTGATGTCGAAGGGGTATTCAGATTCCTTCTTTTATTATTGAGACTAAATGGTGTCCTATCCAATACATAATTTATGGATATTGATTTTGGTTAAGATTTCTTTATATGTACAAATAAAGCACGTGAGATTCTTTCTGGTGGACCTATAATTGTCATCCATATATTCTTTTTAATTGAATAAAAAAGAAATGTGACTGGCGTTGAGATAGCTAATGGTTTTATGGATATGCTGTTGCATTAGTGTATTTTAGTTGAAATTTTAACTTTTTGTCATGTGAAGTAATACTTTTAAATTAGGAGTCAGCTCTTAATTTTGTGATTCTTAATAAAATTCAGTCAATAACAGAGTGTATTAAGAAAATTGTGTTACTAACATTTCTCAATTTAGAATGGAGTTACGTTTCTAGATTTTGCACAGATATTCGATTGTATGACTACAGGAATGTTGGTTTTACAGGTCCTCACAGAACCAAAAAATGCTCTTGCCAAGCAGTACAAGAAATTATTTACTATGAATAATGTAAGCAGTTCTTCCTTCTTTTTTCTCAGAACACTTTTATTTGTGAGTTGCTTTGTTTGAGTGTATGGGGTATGAAAACTCGAACACTAATACTGTATCTTGATCATCCCAACCAACTAAATATGGATATTTGTGGAAGCAAATATCTGAACTTTAACTACGTTGAATTGAAGGGATTGATTGCTTGGTTGTTTGTGGTAGACTTAATTACTCAAGGTATTTCTCCCTAGTTTCCCATGACATTCATCTAATTTTTTCTTCTTCTTGTTGGCTGATGTTGACTTTGGCTTTCTTAAGTCATGTCCGAGTTATACTATTTACCATTCTGCACTGGAATGTGATTTAGAAGTCTTCTCAAAACTAACCTTGGTTGATTTAGTTTTTTATTATCTTTGGCACCATTTGGTGCTAGTCTAAGTTACGTCAACTGTTGTGAGTTTAACTTCAAACAAGTATATCCGTTGAAGATAGTAATAATGAATATTTGAGACTTTAGTAGTGTCCGACAATTCTAACCATCTCTAGATCCGTTAAACTTATGATTATTGAGATCAATCAAAGAGGAAAACGAAATGCAGTTTGAAATAAATAGTCTTAATGAAAAGCAAGAGATGAGACAAATTTAGGGAGCACTCAAAAAAATTAATCAATTATGATTGGGTCTAGAACTTTTGTTTTACCTATGGGTTTTTTTATCTTTTTTCCTTTTCATATTTTCATAAATTAATCTCTTATCATATGATTAATTGATCATTCTAATTCTATTTCTACTTAATGATCATGCAATAATAGCATTAATTTTTTTATCCAATAATTATGCAAAACAATTAATAATGAGAAAAACACACAGAATCAATGAATTTGATATCTACTTAATGATCATGCAATAATGATATTTTTTTCATCCAATAATTATGCAAAACAATTAAAATGAGAAAAACACAGAATCATTGAATTTGATAATTTATAAACTAATTAGAAAATTAGAATTCAGGTTGATCTTCAAAATTCTACTTTTAGTTTATCTCATGAATCTTCTAACGAGATAATGATACAGCTGTCTTCTATCTAATTAGTTAAGGATTATTAAGGGTGATCAACTTTTAATGAAGAAATAAAAACGATAAGACAAACATCATAACTATAGAAATATTTACATTCTAAAATAGTTGGTTTGCATCATATGATCAACCATAGTCCTATGGATTTAACTACTCATAATGATAAACAAGTAAAATGTAATAAGTTTGAAGAATGTCATCATACAAATTAAAAATGAACTAGAAAGTAAAACTTCTAGATCCAACGCTCTAACCTGATGGGGAAGTGATCGATCTTGTGAGTGCTTATTGGTTCAGCAACTTCAATCCTTCCACAGGAAGTTTGAGAGTGAGAGATCCTGGAAGAGAGGAGGTCTTCTGGTAATTTATTGATTTTATTCATTTTTTATATTTATTTATTTTTATTTTATACAAACTTTTATAGAAGTTTACTCAAACTGGGTGATGAAAGGTAAAAAATGGAAAAATAAGAGGAAAAAAAAAAGTTATTGCAAAAAGGGTCCTCTCCTCTTTAAATAATTTTCTTTGTGGGCTGGGCCAGATTTCTGATATGAGGCTTGTGTTTTAGATCCAATATCAGTGAAAGCATCCTTTTTGCTTATTTTTCTGTTACTACAATAAAATGGGAAGAATATGTAATAACGAGTCAATTACATAATCAAATCACATATAAATTCTTTGTATTACTGCTAATTAAACTGTCACAATGACGGTTTATCATCAACTGATCAGCTTGTTTCAGCTTCTTGTTTGTGAAAATCATTCAAGCTACTCCTTTCTACCCTTCCACCAATTTCAGTTGTATTGACTATTGAGTGTGTGTAATATGTTTATTACGTACGGATGCACGTGAGTGATGAGGAGTGTGGACAGTAAGAGCCTATTTGTCTGAAACTTTTCTCCTAAATTTCAGGTAAAGCTACACTTCACAGAGAAAGCTGTAAGATTAATCGCAAAGAAAGCAATGGCCAAAAATACTGGTGCCAGGGGTCTAAGAGCCCTACTGGAAGGCATTTTAACTGAAGCCATGTTTGAGGTATGAGTAGATTTTTTTATAAAAATATTTTGCTGTGGCATCTAAGACTGCCACTCTGATTTTCTACTACTAATACACCAAATGCTTGTATGCACCAGATTCCAGATGTTAAAGCAGGAAATGAACTGATTGATGCAGTTGTTGTTGACGAAGAGTCAGTAGGATCAGTAAATGCCCCTGGGTGTGGAGGAAAAATTCTTTGTGGAGATGGTGCTTTAGAGCTGTACCTAGCTAAGACGGAGAGTTCAGTGGTATGATATTGCATCTGAATGCATGCTTGTTGATGCTTTTTGGATTTATTTTTTTGTGCTGGCTGTTTGTCCAAGCTATCTTGTGACGTCCCTGCTGATAAAGTATTTCATACTGATGTTTTCATTCATTTGATGCAGTGATGAGCTATGTGAATGTGGTAGGTGATTTTGACCCTTTTGTTTCATATATTGCAGGTAAATGGTCACATACCTGAACCGGACTTGCAAGAGGGGGAACCAGAGATTTCATCAAGAGTCGTGAGCATGTAATATTATATTTACCATGATCAAGGTGTATAATTCGTCATTGTCATTGTTATCTGTAAAAATCACATTCATAATTTGCTGTAGTTATCCCTTGTATAATGCATATAGCTTCTGTTTAGTTCATTGAATAGGAAGGATATAGAAGAATGAAAGAGATAGCATTTTAATTTGGCAGCACATAATGCAAAGTTTCAATTGATATTAATGAAGGTCTATTTTACACAATTTGCTCTTCTGCTGTCCCACTAACATGCTCTCATTGCCGCCACCCCCTCTCCCATCATTTTGAAAAAAGTTGTAGTTAAATTGATGTTTCACATGAAAAGTTGACGTCTTAGTACAAATGGAACAAAATCTATCCAAAAGAACAATGACTCATCTAAATGGGTTCTGAAAAGTTCAGCCGTTTGTATAGGGGAAGATTTGGTAAGCGTAGGATTGAAGTTTTTCATATCAAGTATGTTGCATTAGGAGCTTAGCAACGTTGTTCGACACACTCACATACCGTTTTCTTGAGAAATTGGTATGGCACTCTCAAAGCATTACACTTCCTAAATTAATTTGAGTATATGTATATCCTGGAATTTTTATTTTATTTTTTCATTTACTTCTTATAAAAAGTTAGTTCATTTCCAATTTCTATATTAACAAAAATTATGTGAGTTTAATCTTGGTAAGAGATAAAAGCATATAATTTTTGCAATTTCTAGAAACTGAAAATTTATTTAATCCTGTGTTATATCTGTATGTTATACTTTGATTGGATAATTTTCTGAATTTCTAGGGATTACATTTGCTCAATATGCGAAGAAGCAAAAAAAAAAGTTGGTTATTATTCATAAACAGACACAGCACTTTTTCATGTCATTGTGTCAAATGCAAATAAAATTAAACTCTCAAATGAAAATGAATGCCCGTCCTTTGAACCATCAAATTTCAAAGCTAAGTCTACTTGGCTTTAGAGCTGGAAATAAATTTCTCAGCTTCTGTGGCGGTTGGAAGTGCAGGAATTGCTCCCTTCTGTGTTGTACAGATTGCTCCACAAGCATTTGCAAATGCCAAAGCCTCTCTCAATTTTGGTTCGTTCTTCATATTGTATCCAATAAAAACAAAGATGTCAACCATTGAGAAGTTAATATAGCTTAGTCTTGAAAAATAATTTGAGTTAAAGTGAAAGAGAATTACATCAAATATGGAAGTGTCCTTGGCCATAGCTGTGAGAAGTGCACCAACAAAAGAATCACCGGCACCAGTTGTGTCAACTGACTTCACTGAGAATCCTGTTACCCTGCCTTTGAATTTCTGCAGTTAAAAATATATCCAGAGATGTTAAGTTTAGATCACAGTACCACACCATAAAAGGACATGCAGCTATAGATGAAACCATCTTGAATGGGATGACAAATGTCAAGTCAAAATCATAAACTACATATATGAAACCATCCAGTAATGATCAAAAGTATTGTCTCTGTTTCTTTCAGAAGATGCTTTATTGAATTGATTTAGCCAAACAAGCACTATTTTCAATACACGGTTGGATAGTACCTTGGTGAAATATCTGCAACCTTTCTCCCCATCAGTGACAAGAAGCAACTTCAATTTGTCATGCCACAGGGACATAACAACATCTTCCTTTTCAGGATCTCCTTGTGTTAGAAATTGAACTTCATCATCACTCACCTATATAGACAAAGATGAATTATTTTACACAATCACTTGGACATATTGTAACAAAAACTGCATGCTTTAAGAAGAAAGTATAAGTAATTTTGTTTGAGTTGGGACCAACCACCTGCTGGTTTTCTACAGTTTTGCTAACAAAACTAAATGCCCCCATCATAGAATTAAGGAATAATAGAACAAGTTCAAGATCTAAATTTCTCTATGCTGCCATATCATCCATCATATTCCAAGGCTTCCAGAAACAAACTTGAAGATACTGTACCTTGATGAAGTCAGCATCAAACCAAATACTCTTGATCCCAGACCTAGCAGCCTCATGAGAAGGCCACAAAGGAAGCCTCACATTTGGATCATAGGACAGCAATGCACCACCTTCTCTAGCTGCTTTCATGGCTGCCAAGTGAGCTGATCTGCATGGCTCAGATATAAGGCTAATAGATCCATAATGGAATATCTTGGCCTGCTTAATCAAATCCATGTTCAATTCAGATTCCTTCAATAGCATATCTGCACTTGGGTTTCTATAAAACATGAACTCCCTCTCTCCATCCTTCCTTAATGTCACAAAAGCCAATGCAGTTCTTGCTTCCATATCAAAGCAAACACCACCTGTATTCACCCCATTTTTCTTCAAGATGTCAACTAGCATCCTTCCAAACTCATCATCTCCCACCTGTCACATCATAATCATCACTTTTTTATATAAGTATAAATGATAAAAGAACATAATCAATAATCTTAATGCATGATGGGGAATGCTTCTTTGTAGAAATTTAGAACCTTGCCAATGAAGGCAGCGTTGCCACCAAGTTTGGATATGGCACATGCAACATTGGCAGGGGCACCTCCAGGGGCTTTGATAAAAGCATAAGACTCAGCCAAGGAGACACCAGATGTGTCAGGAACAAAGTCGATCAGCATTTCACCGAATGATATCACCAATGGATCTCTTGAGCTTGCCATCTTCTTCCTCTTCTTTCTCTTACTGCTTTTCTTGTTGATGTCTTGTGTCTTACAGAATAATTTGAGGGTGAAACCTCCACGATGCGATAGGTAGCATATGTATGATTCAACGTAGGATTAGGAGTGTTATTAGTGTTTTTGTTGTTAGTGTCTTTGTCTAAATTTATCCTAGTATGGATTATTATTTTGGACAATATCTAATAACTTTAATAGTCATATGTCAATGGTTTAACCTATCAAAATATAGCCTTTTTTTTTATAAGGTCGTCTTAACCAAATACCATTAAGACATTAATTAAAATTTTTTTAAAATTATATTAAAATGGATTCAAAATTACATGAGATGCATTAATAATATTTTTTAACAACATCGTTTTACCTTCCATTTCTTTAATTAATGTTTTAAAGGTACTGATTAACGTTTGTCTTGTTTTTTTAGGTTTATATGAATTTAAGGGTACTTATAGTGTTCCATGTGGATTGCTGACTAATTAATTAAACCTTAAACTTTTGAAGTTCATATAAAAATTTAAATCCTATAAATGTTACTGTTTTTAAATTGGTCCTTATAAAAATTTAATCAAGCATTTTAAGAGGATGAATAATTAGTTCATGTCGTTTAAGAAATTTGTTTGTATTTAATCTTTCACCGAAGTGTTGGGATTAAATACTAACAACTTTTTACAAAGACTAAATCCAAAAATAACATTTATAGAAACTAAAAAGTTATTTATATCTTTCTTTAATTACCTTTAAGTTATTTTGTTGTAAGGACTTGAATTCAGGGAATTTACCGGTACAAATGTAGGTGCACTCGAAGAACAGATTCGGGTTTAATTTTAAATAAAAAAGAAAGAAAACAAAAGTTTGAAAGAGTCGATTGTAAATTTTGCCATTGTTTCAGGTGCTACCAGAAAACAAGTAAACAAACCAAAGAAAACACTTGGTGTTTAACCCAAACTCACCGCTCGCTTTTGTCAACAAGAACAGCAAAAACGTAATATCGAACACAGGTTTGATCCGAGAATGACTGCTTTTGAAAAGGAACAACAAAAAACACCACACATACATACCAAGTAGCATTAGTCCCTTAAATTTGGGTTCATACTCACCCTTTTAGGTAGGATATGCTATTTTTTATCATACCCTCCTTTAAATATTTATGAAATGTAAAATATGTAGGGTTCTTTGGATATTTTTAAATTTTTAGGTTTAAATAAGTTACTAAAATATCATGTCTTTTGATTTTAATTCTTATAAAAATTTTATTCGGTTTTTGTTACTCAGGGATTAAATATAAATAGAAACTGAAACTGAATAAAATTTTTATAGGCACTAAAATCAAAAGGTATGCTATTTTTAACGACTACTAGCTCATTTAAGCTTAATTTTTTATCATTCCCTCCTTAAATGTGTAGGATATTGCTTCCATGGAGGAAGCTATTTGAGCTACTAAGAACTTTAATCCAACGAGGCTCTTATCTAACTGAACTTGCATAATCAATATTAATAAGTTGAATGGGGTTAGACCCTAGGTGAAATGCAGCAAGAAGCAAGAGAGAGAAATAGGAAATAAAAACTACTTTAGCCACAATAGCTAAATACCACTCCAACAGTGCTTACTATATCCAATTTTAGAGAATATTGTGCTAAATCATCAATTCATGAATGTCCTTTATCTTTATTCAATAGGCATCCCCTCACAGGATTTATTCAAACTTATAGTGCTTGTCCACACCAACAGACACATCCCAAGTGCAACTCATTCCTTTTGGAAACACAACCAAGTCACCAGCAGCAATTTCAACTGACTCATTTTCCCCACTAGGAGTGACCTTCACTTTTCCTTCCAGAAGGTAGCAAGTCTCTTTGGCTTCATATGTCCATGGAAATTTGCTTGGAGGACAACCCCATCTGTTAAACATCAGATGTCAGAGAGAGATCAGATGCTTTTGAAAGAAGGGGAAAAAACATATGTGATTGAAAACATTTACAGTTAAGAATGAAAACTTGTATATTGCAACTTTTATTTCCAATTAAAAGGATAGCAACTTTTTAGTTACATTTGGATGCAACCAGTTGGAACTGGAAGAGCAACCAGCAAAGAAAGAGTTTCAGTTGGTACTGAGTCTAGAATTCATGCATTTGAGCTATCCATTTAGCCATAATTGGTACTGAGTCTATATCTTTAACCAAGGAGATTTTGAAAAAATAAATTACAAATGGTAACAGGAACTTGACATCACTTAGTTTAGTTATAGGATCTCTGATTCAGTTAACTAGCCCAGCAAAACATTTTGTGCAAGAACTATTCAAAACACCATGTTTGATATTAATTGTAAATTACCGCTTGCTAACAAAGCATCATTGTTAACAATGGCCCCAAAAGACCCAGTTAATTATGCACATAGAAAGTTGCTAGCAAATAGCAAAACTTATCTTTTTTCCGCTCATAGAAGTTTTATGGGAAAATTTGTTGTATAAGAAATTGGGTATAGAGTGTTATACTGAATTAAACCTACCTCTATCAATTCCATCACTGCATCAGACTTAACCATCACAAATCCAATGATTCTAGTGAGGCTTTGTCAAATTGCTGAGAAATAAACTGTTGATTTTTTTTCAGACAAATACCTATCACCAATGCACACACGGTACCTAGAACCTAAACTCCAGTCTGGTTCCTTAAATACAGATTTTTTTCCCTGATTTCTCCATTGTCATAGTACCAAAAAAATTAACAAAACACAACCTCAATCCTATGGTAGAGCTCAAAGCAAAAAGGGCAAGAAACATAGGCACACAGCATTATTCATTCATCAAAAAATGAGAAAAAAATTAATCCATACCCCATAAGCAAAAATGTAGGGGAAACAAAGTACCCATTAGAATAATAGAAATCATAAGGAAAAGGTGAAAAAGAAAAGGAAACAGAAAGAGGAAAATAATAAAGAAATGAAATTTTACTTTGGCCATTGCTTAACACCAAGTTGGGTGAGCTTGGACTCGGGAGGGTTCCTCTCAATCTTGATGCCCAGTTTCTCTATGACAGTAGTCATACTCTCTGCTCTTATTGTTGAAGGAAAATGTAGCCTTCTACTTACACCAATTGATGAGTGTTTGGATTGTGAGAAAAGTTGAGTGTGGTTCGGTAATAATAAAGTGCCCACACTTGATGATGCCATGGCAACAAAGGGAACACTATTTTGAGCCACCTTCGTTTAGACGACATTTATTATAAATTATCTTTTGTTTCGTTCACTCATTTTTCATCTTCTGCACTTTCTACGGATACCATTTTCTTCATGTAAAATTTTTATTCCTATGGTTCTCACGTTCTTTTGTCATACTTCCTATATTTTCATAAAACATTTATTATAGTGTTAAATTAATTCCTATCATGTTTTTTTTTTAAAATTAAATTAATGATATTTTTTCTATTATAAAGACTTAAAAGAAAAAAAAAGTGTCAAAGCATATAAATTAAAACGTAAAACTTTTTCATGTAATACTAAAACAAAATATTAACTCTTTTTATATAATGACTAAAATAACAAGTATTGTCTAATATAGAAAACAAAATTAGTATTATAAAATCGACAATCACAAAATCAGTTTATCATAAATTAATAAGAAATAATTACTTTACATAAAGGTTAAAATGAAAATAATATTTATATATGAAGAAAATTTTAATTAAATGTTAATTTTATACCGAAAAAAATCATTTTCTCTGTCGAAATAACTTTTTAATCTTTTTTTTTCATTCATTTTAGAATAATTTATAAAATAATATGAATGGCGACGAGGTCTGCTGTTTAGATTTGAGAATAATGCTAATATATTAGTCAGTTGAAAATGCTTAAGGAGTGTTTATATAATTTACACGGTAATCAATTTTCAGTCTTACGTTTATATGAAGTTTTGTCGTATAGACGATATTTACTGTATGTGAGAATATTTTAAGAATTTATAAAGAATTATATTCCATTTTAAATGAAAAGTTGCATTGATTGATTGATTGATTATTTGATTATAAAATTCAATTTCAAACATATAAACCAAAGTCTTTATAAATTAATGCTGATTTGCATCCTTATCATATTCGAGTGATGCTTGATTTCCTTCCTAATTATTTACTTAGAAGCCAGTAATAGTGCTTGGCGTTTACTATCTGAAATTTTGATTTTCATATATTTTACTTTAGTTTTTAGAATTGTATTAGTAGACAATGGATTGAATAATATGGTCATATTCTCAATGACTGACCCAGCAAATGCAATGCAAGAGTTTATATCTAGTTACTCAAATGAAAAAAGTTGCGAACTATTTCATTTCATGTTTCAACCACCCCACATATGTGCCATAATCTGAATCCGTAGTAGTTAGCACAATCACATGGTCCATATCCAATCTTTCTGGCTAGTGCTAGACTGATGTAGTTACTACCTGCGATTGAAGCACAATCTAAAATGAAATGCGTTTTCCTTACTGATAGACGGAATCACAATGATATCACATAATCCAAATGAGTTTGGCAATCCCTTTTACAAATGTGGCATTATTTCATATGCTGAGTGATTTGACATTAGGACTAGCCAAAGATATGGGTGGAATGCCTTGTTCATTAGTGAAAACATTGTTAGGATCAATCAGAGTCTTGGCTCTCACCAGTCTGTCATAGTTACTCAAGAAGTACTTTTCACCCCAAACTCTTGCATTTTCCACATCATCTTTCATAATTGCACCATTCCTAATCCGCTTCATTACTCCAAGGTCAAAGTCCATGTAATTAATATATGCAGCCCTTGGACCCCATGAAACAAAGGGAGTCATGGCAGCATAGAACCCTCTTATCCAATCAATATAATCACTGCTTTTGTCATTGTCAGCTTCCTTCCAATAGATCAGGTACTGAATTGTGAACAGGTTTCCTCTTCTGTGGGGAAAAGCAATAGATTCACTGCTTATATGATGCATCATTCCACCATAAGGGTCCAGAATAACATATCCTTTAGGCTCCTTTTCGAGGATGTCCAGTGCAGTCTCTATGCCCATAAGAGGAACATGCTTGTTTACAAAATCTGATTTGGCCTTGAAATATTCTTTTTTTTGAAGATACCTATTCTTCAAGTCAGAGACCGAAGTTCCATCACCTAGGCCAGAGAAGAAAACAATTGACTGAATCCAACTCATTTCTATACATTCTTCCTCTACAATATCCAATTCAGGAAAATCCTTGTTTAGGATGGATATGGCACTGGCCCTTGGACCAAGATAAAAGCCATTAAATGTTGCTGATAACCCTCTAGTTTTAGCTTGGGGCAAGCCAGCACCAACAAAGCATGACAAGTAGAAGTCATCTTCCAAGTTGGGTGCCACATATTCCCATTTGTGCACTAGCTTGGCAACATGACTTTTTGTGCCTGTTCTAGATACAACAAAACTAGTTACAATTTGTGGCACTTTCAACACCTTGATTTTCCAGGCATAAATGATCCCCCAAAGACCACCACCACCACCTCTAATAGCCCAAAACACATCTTCTCCCATGGATTCACGGTCAAACAATTGTCCACCAGCATCAACAAGAAGGGCATCCACCACGTTATCTGCTGCAAGTCCATATTTTCTAGACAACAACCCAAATCCCCCACCACCAATATGTCCTCCAACTCCAACAGTTGGACATGACCCAGCTGAGAATCCATGTATATTGCTTGCCTGAGAGATTGCATAGTAAGTCTCTCCCAATGTTGCACCACCTTCAACCCATGCTGTTTCTGTCTCCGTATCCACCCGAACATGGTTCAAATTCATCATGTCAATAATGACAAAAGGAGTACCATCATCAGCAACAGAGGAAGTCCCTTCATAGCTATGTCCACCACATCTTACTCTGATTTCCAGGGACCCTTCTCTACAGCATGCTACACTTTTCTGTAGCTGCTCCAAACTCTCTGGCAGTACAATAGCTATTGGCTTAGGAATCACAGGTTCTGCAAACCGAAGGTTTTGAATGGAAAAATTGAGAATTTTGAAGTAATTAGTGGCAGAGGATTGGTCATGTTCTTTGTAAGGGAAGGTGGTAAAGTTTTTTATTTTGTGATTATCCAAGCAATAAGTGAAGTCTCTGAGTGAAGCAGATAAAGACAGTGAAACATCAGAGGATAGCAAGAGGAAACATAGAAGGCATAGACTTTTGTGGAAATTGAACATGGCTTCAGCTTGTGAATGCTAGAAGCAAGCTGGTCTGTAATTGGTGCAGAACATATTTAAGTTTATGGCCATTGGAGAATGACTTCAACAGCTTAAGACAAAAGGATGGAGACACGTAGCAAGCATGCATAGGTTGCGGCCGGCTATTGTTTAATATTCGAATTTGGAAGGTTGGTAGAGTGAACTTGAACAGTGCCATAGAATCAATCTTCCATTAAAGCAGACAAAAACTAAAAACACAATTTGTCTTTACTTCTTTCATCTAGGCAGAAGGCATTTAAAGTAATGTACAATGGGAATCATGATATGTGCGTAAGTTTAAACATTCATTGAATTTTTAAATTATGTCCGAGTTTCATCAATAATGTCAAGAATACTTGGAAAACTTGCCAAATAAAATTGAAGTGTAGATGGCTTGAGTTAGAGAGTGGCTACATATGAGAATGAATAACTAGCAGACATAAAAGGTTTGCCGGCTGACCTAAGAGGATAAATTGCCATGGCCTGCTATGTTTGCTTTTATCCAATTGATTTTTAATAATGTTAGTGTCAACTCAAATCGTGTTATTTTAAGCTCTTGTTAACCAATGCCTGCATAATCCGCGTATTGAGTTTATAATTTACGTCTGAGTTTTATCCTTAAATTCATGCTATTCGTGGAAACCCCATGCAAACAAATCAGACATTTGTCTTTACTTCTTTCATCTATGCAGAAGGCATTTAAAGTAATGTACAACGGGAATCATGATATGTGCGTAAGTTTACACATCCATTGAATTTTTAAATTATGTCCGAGTTTCATTATTAAATTCAAGCTATTTGATATCCTACACAAATTAATTATATATTTGTTTTTACTTAATTCTTCCATGTTGGAGGATTTTAAAGTAATGTTCAAAATGAAATACCGTATGTGTGTCTAAGAGTGTAAACGTTCATTAAAGAAGTTACAAGTTATTGTATAAAATAAAAAGTATTTTGGCTGTTACTTATAAATGCAAAAAAAAAAAGAAAAGTAAAACTTATCTATTCAAACAACAAAAAGTTTTCATAAAAAAAAAAGTAACAAAAAGATTAGCTAGCTAAAAACTTGCACTTAATTCACTTTCAAAAACTAACTCACAAAAGGAAGATTACCCTAATCTTTATAAGGAATATCTGACTCTATTTCTACTAAAATGAAACATTTTAACAGGCTATTAAAAAGATTGTAATAAATTTAACAAGCATTACAATTATGAAAAGGGAGTAAAAACGGAGAGATTTTCACATTCAGACCTTTACAATTGATTGGGCAATAGAAATCAGAATAGATAAACTTTATTTTTATTTTTTATTTTTTTTAGCGCACGAATAACATCTCCCAACCAACAGCAAAAATTGATTTTTTTTCTAGACATAAAGATCAAAGAAGTAGGCTTTATTTCTCTCAATAATGTTTTTTTCATAGGTATGATTAAGAATTGTCTTTTGCAAAAATAGAATAATGTTAATAATGTACCAAAAACCAATAGATAGTGCAAATATCATTATTTTCATGCCAAGCAAAAGCTAATCCCAATCCAAAAAGATCTAACTGACATGTACACAGTACGATGATTTTGACACAATAAAAATCTAGTTGTCAATATTCATGTGGCACTAGAATATTCATGTGGCACTAGAAGCTACACAAAATTGCGTAGTTTGGATGTTACCCACACGCTAATGCTATTGGGATATGCTATTTCCCTGGCATCTTTCTAGAAACACCCTCCCGATACATGTATCGATTAGGCCTTGTAATTACCCAAACGATAGCATTAGAACGGGGTTATATCTTTTTCAAATTGATTGAGAGAATAGAGATCAATTTGAATTCATAAAGTAGAGATAAAGATAGAAAAAAAATAAGAGAGAAAACTTGAGTCCATAACATCCATAACAAAGGCATCTGATGGCACATTAATGCAAATAACTAAGGTCAGAACATCAGTCCAGCCACTACGAACTAGACAAAGCCATAATATGCCTCAGCGGAAAAGGAAGATAGTAACTGTAGGGAATAATCAACCGAGATATATTATTTCATTATCATCCTTCAATCTAGAAAAGTTCGTGGCCTTATGATCAGAATGAAAAGATAATGCACTCACGAGGCTTGAAATCGACATTCCTTAAAATTCCTCATTAATACATTTTCTCCCGACGGGGACAAATATCATGAGATGCCTTTCGGCAACAATAACACTAAGAGGAGAAAAGATTTAGTCCCAACAAAATTGGGTGTTCTCATGGTACACTCTAATCAGATGCCATGATGTAAATTGGTTGGTATCAGGAACATAAAGTGCTAAAACAGAAGGGCGCATGGATGTAACTTCAAAGTGAAGATATATACATAGTAACATTAGCGGAACTAATCATTTACATAATGCTGAGCAGGTTTAATAGCTTTAAAATTATTTTTTTTTCCTGTAAACAAATTAACAATCTTAAATTGCTTCAAAATGAATTATTATATCATGGTTGAGGGGAAAATCAAATTTGGCATTTATCATATGCTTTAGACTTTTCTATCACAACCTTGCACTTATCTCTTTTTCTTACCTGCAAAATAATTAGAGACACCATCAGTCATAATATGAAACATCCTAGAAAGATGATATAATGATCCTGAATTTAAGGTCCATAAGAAGCTCATATATATATATATATATTGGCCAGACATGACATCTTATTAAGGTAGCGTTTGATCCATGTCTCTAGAGCTGGAACACTGATGTCCCTTCTTCCAAGAGGTACATTAGTGTCCTTCGAATTTGTGTTCCGCATGTCTTTCCGTGTAGTTAAACATGATTCGCATGCCTTCGTATTTCTATCCTAGTATCTCCGTCTCTGAACCAAATGCTACCTAAGGTTTTATTTTCTATATAATAAGAGGACATGCATAACGTACACCAGAGTATATGAACCAAATCTAGAATAGAAACAAGATCCTGAACAGAGTATATTTTCTGAGTATATTTATGAGGACATGCATAGTGAAGTTAAAGAAGACACTAACAATATCTGCATTATTTTGGACTTTAGGTCTCGAAAAGTGTGATGTATCCATAACTTCAATTAAGTTGGTAAGATAAGTTTTAAGATTAAATTCATATCTAAAGAAAAATTATATATAATTATTGAAAATTTGTGCTTCTGGAAGATATGGATGGACAGACATATCTAGTTCTTGGTAACCTTGATCACGGGCATTTTTGTGAATAATACAATCAGCTTGTTTTGTTTTCCATCTATATCAATCCAGTTCTATCATAGTACTAACTACTAATCCAGTCAGGAAGGAGGAGGAGGGAGAGAAACCAACAAGGAAAAGAACAATCAAGCCAGGTGCAAACCTATATCTCTATGACAATTGTTAAGTTTATCCAGTCTCAAAAGGTAATAATGTCTTTTGCCCTTTAGTAAAACTAAATATTAAAATTTAATGTTTTTTCATCTGGCCTTAACCAAAAAGCTAATAGTCATTTATCTGGAAAATTTGATAGTAATAGATCATGCATAATGTCAGACAGCAACCAATGAAAAATATAATAGAGTATAGACAGAAGCAAATATTAATAAAAGAAAAGCCAATCTTGTATGTGCAAAATGAGGACTTCCAACTAAATAAACTGAACAAGTATAATGCTAAAGAATTACCTCAACCTGAGGACTTTTACCTCGAAGCAACATATCTACACTTTTGTCAGTCTGCAAAATGAAAACACAATATAAACAAGTTAAATTTAAAACTAATTCACATATTAGCTTAGGAACATCTTTAACGATTAACAGAAATTACCCTGCCGTGCCTTCTAATTGGCCCAAATAATTCTTTTCAATTGATTTGTCAGCAACAAAAACAAATGATCCATAAAACAATGCTAAAATGTATGATGAAGGAGATTCAAATCCACATAGCGCTTTGAACCAATAACATACATACATCCTTCTAAGTGGCCTAATCTACATGACAGTCTATTCTAACAATACCTTTTCTTTCATGAACTTTAGTACAATGATTGTGTTAAGTGAATTTCATATTCAAATGGCTGGATATTATAACTGTTGTTATTTTGTAAAGAAGTTAAAATGAATAACAAAAACGACTATATATAAATAAACTAGTGCTAACAAAGAAAAGCTTAAAAATTGTTTTAAAGCAAAAGCATGAAATAACTTGTTACAAAAAAAGTAAAGGAATGAATGTCATCCGTCAAACAATTGATAGGAGCTTTCACCAGTGAAACATGTAAAGGAAGGACTGAACTCATTTTGTTCTCTCAGATAAATCACTTGTTCAACATTTTTCCAGTACTAGGCATAGGAGTTCTATCTTTTCCTAGTGTTAAGGTTAAAAACATGTTCATGCGTAGCTTATTATGTTCAGAGTCCAAACACTTCTGACTGGAACTCGAATTAGAAGATCACTATGAAAAGAAAGCTACAAAGAAACATGGAAGTCTATTGATTACATTTCCTAAGCTGAATCGACCATAAAATAGGATATTCTGAGATGAAGTATCAAACAATAAAATAAGAACCAAGTTTTTAACTTCTGATGTCATTTCATCACCAATATATCTTTATTTATTTACTCCATTTGATCATTTTTATGAGGCACTGTCTAGATGGTTTTGATAATCCTTATTTAAGGCTTTTACAATTCCTATAAAGCATTTATTTTTCTTTTCCTATTGTTCCTTAATAAGTGAAATTGGTGGAAAATGCAAATAAAACTAAAACTACCAAGGAAAAGAGCAAATTTTCAAATTTAAAATATTGACAGTGGGATTGTAAAATTGACATGTTCTGGTAATTTAAAAAAAAATAAAAAATCAACTAACTTTAACTACTTTTATTGGTTTGTGTTATTTAATTGAAGATGCCTTATAAAAAGGACCAAAGGGAGTATTTATTGACTAAATGAACTCAGTAATCTTGAAGATAGGAACTTCTTATTACTACAGTAATAAATGGTCAATTAACATACCTGATGTGTAAGCCAGTAGTGTCTATCTCTCATCTCAATTAAGAAATCAAATGTTGGAGGAGTTTTCCTCTCAAGAATTGTCTTTTGACAATTTCTTGCTCTGGCTTCTGCATCTCCAAGAGTAACAGTTTCTATTCCACCAATCTAGTTAAGCAAACGGAAGTGGTTCTTGAATGTTACAGTCTCGCATATAGCAGAATGACTCACAGTTCCAAAAATCAAGCAACTCTTAAACATCAAAAATTAATATACTCAACATGTATTGCAACTGAATGATTGATATAATTTTTCAGGATACTTTTGAAGTGTTGATGAAAACTCTTTTACACCATAAAATGGACTCAGTTTCAAGCCTCTTCTAAACAGCATTATTTAAGGGGAACACATAAAGCAAGTTCATAAGAGTAGACACAGTAGTGTAAATGCATGATAGAATTCAGGGCACACTTTCTTCTACCATGTCCATACATATCATGGTAATGAAATAGAGCTTAATGAAATGCGTGTTTTCCTCCCTCAAAGCTTGCAGGTCATTATAATATTGTTCACACAAAAATTTTAAATTTAAATTTGTCAATGAAATAGAGCAGCTAAATAATAACGAATAAGTGAATTAGCTTGAGGATTTTTGCTTGCAGGCCTTTTGATACTCAACAAAGCACCAAATTGACTTTAGACAACTCAATGAAGAAAAGGAGCTCAACTTCTTAAAAAGAGAGCAAATATTAAAAAGTCTTAGATATTATTTGCACACAAGTCACAGCCATAAAAAAGGAAAATAACAAACCAGGTCAGAGAGTGTAGGATTTTTTATGATATTCCCAAGTTGCTGTCCATGAGCAGTCCCAATAAGCATGATGCCTCGCTCAGCAATTGACCGGCAAGCATGAGATTCAGCTTCTGTGCCAATTTCATCCACTATAATCACCTCAGGCATGTGATTTTCCACTGCCTCAATCATCACCCTATGTTGCATTGATGGCTTGGGCACCTGCATTCTTCTTGCACCACCTATTGCTGCATGTGGAATATTGCCATCACCTCCAATTTCATTGCTGGTATCAACAATCACCTACCCAAATTTGCAAGTATGTATTCGTTCATGAACTGGTATGAAAAATTACTTTGTGGAAGAAAGAATGCGGTGAGATGCTGAAAAATCAGCATACCACTCTTTTGTTAAGATCATCAGACAGCACACGTGCAATCTCTCGCATAACAGTAGTCTTGCCAACTCCAGGCCTGAGAGAATCCGAATTATAGGAGATCCATGAAATAGAAGAAAACAAAAAAAAAAAAACACATCAACAAATATTTATTGATCATGCATGATGAATCTGTGAGTTGGACATTCTATTGACTACCAAATCAACATGCTATGATAAGTGACCTTTAAAAAATACTCCAAATGAACAAATTAGATTGTGCATTACAATTGACAGTGCCAAACACAGAATCCACCAAGTATTTTAATACGTTTCAAAAGAATACCAACTGCCGTAATATTTAAACCAAAAATAAGACAAGGTCAAAGAGCATATCAGAAGTCAGAACTATTTCGAATCAAATATAACGAATCAAACTATTTCACGGGGTATGTAACCACTTAAAATGTCAACAACTTGTATCATATCTCAAAACGTTAACGAGTACCTTCCAACAAATAAAATGTTCTTCCCATATTGAAGCAGGTCATAAACCATGTCAATGTGGCCAGTAACTGCCCTCCCAATTCGACACGTCAAACCGATTATGGCCCCATTCCTACTCCTTATTGCAGAGATTCTGTGCAACGTACCCTCAATGCCCGCTCTATTGTCATTCCCAAATTCCCCAATAGCTTGTTCAGCATATTCCAACTCCTTCACCGTTACCTAACTACACAATAACAATAACACTGAGCCATTGAATGAATGAATAGTGCATGGCAAGCTATGCTTACCTCAGTGTTCCTTAAATATTGGCCTCCGTGTTTGCCTAGATAACGCGCTTCTGGAAAACGACCCAAATCCAATATAATCTCTAAGAGTTGAGGGCGGTTAGGTTGATTGAGGAGAGTGTGATGCAAATCAGATGGAAGGATCTGGAAGAGAAAACAATTACTGAATTACAATTACAAGAGTGAGGAACGTTAAGGAAGTAGGTACCTGTAAGAGAGCTTCAAGATCGTCGTTGTGAATGAGAGAACACGAGGCTTCAGAAAACGATTCACATTTCAATTTCACTGTGTTCAGCCTCAGTGACAGTGGCGTTGTTGTCTTCAAATTCCATGGCAGTGTCACCCATGAACGTGAGCATGAACATGTCGCAACTACCATTTTCGTTTCCTACCTTATCAGTTGTTATCCCCTGTTTTTCCCTTTTATATTAGCAAATAGCTATAATAATTTTTAAAATTATTCTAACAAAAAATATGGAGACCAATTATTTATTTATTTATTTATTTATTTATTTATTTATTATTATTATTATTATTATTATTTTAAAATTTTATTAAAATTACTCGTGTTTTAAATAATAGGTAAAATAATTCATTTTTAATATTTTAAACCAGTATAAAAAATATTAAACGAAATAGGCCCTGCAATACATTATATTAGCTACACATTATTGTTAAATGGTTTATAAAAATAATTATATTTTTTATTTTAAGAAAGGTTTTATTTGACTAAAATTTACTATATTATAATAAAATATTTAATATAAAATACATAAATATGAATAGTAATTAACATATATTACCGTACCATACTTGTATCTTAGTTTTTATTTATCATATTTACATCTTTAATCGGCTAATTAATTTTAATAATATATTTTTAAAAACTAATTTTTATAATAGAATTTTTTTAAAACTAATTCTTTGTTTAGTGCAATTTTTATCAAATCAATAGTAATAATATCGTACTTTGACCTACTATGGCTCTGAAACTCCGATATAACCCTATCAATAGCATTTGTTTATTTTAATCATCCAATATCTACAGCTCATGTTGTGGTAATTTATATTTGATCTCTGCTATGTATTCATCTATAGACTAGTATTAGTTGATGGAGAATGATAGTATATTAAATATTAATAAAAATTATGCTATCAAATATGCAAGTGCAGTATTATTACTTAACGAAAAATCACACCAGAAAATTAGTTTTAAAAAAAATCCTATCATAAGAATTTATTTTTAAAAATATATTATTTAAATAAATTAACCTCTTCGATCATACTCAGTAGTCGATAATCTATTTATATCCGTGCAACATCGATATTAAAAAGACAGTCGCTGGAAAGATTGGAAAGCGGAGAACGATGAAATGATGAATAAAATTTTTGAGGAATTGACATTTTCCCTCAGTTTTGGTACAAACATAACCAGTCTAATTTTGTTTAATTAGATTTTGTCTCATATAAGAAAAATTAAATAATATTTGCTTAAAAAAATTTACTTAAGTGACTAAAAAATTATTTAATATAAAGTTCACCTAAACAAGAAAGAAAACGACATTAGATTATTTTGTTTAAACGAAAAAAATTTATTTAAATTAATCAAATATTTACTTAAGTATTATAAAGTAAAATTATTTAATGTTAAATGAATTTGAGATAGAAGACAATAAATTAACTAATTTGAATAAAAGACAGTAAATAAATATTCGTTTAAACAAATTTGATATTACTTAAGTGAATAATGAAGAAAATGTTATTATTATATAGAAACAGATAGCATGTAAGGTTGAAAAAAAATTGATGACATAATAACTTAATTTTTATATAGAAAATAAATTGATAAATACATATTTAACGAATAAACAAAAGAAGTTTTAACAATAAATTAATTTTGATCAAAAATTAAATCATAAGTATCATTCATGAAGGTATCTTTACAAAATCAGAGAAATTAAGAAATAAAAAAAATAGAATTTAATAAATATAATGTTAAGTTGAACAATTTTTATTGTTAATAAATTCATAAAACTAAGTTGATGGATTAACATATAAAGAGGATCATAACATGAAGATGTCAAACAATATATTTTAAATGAATCACAAAGTATTAGTTGATATTCCTAATATATTCAAATAAAAATTATTATATGGTTATTATAAGCAAGTTAAAATACATCTATTTATTGATATTAAAAATTATTACAAAAAATTACCTGAAATGTTTATTTGTAAAATAGTTTTCTGCAATGTTGTATTTCTCAATAATATGCTGTATAAATACATGAAGTTGTTGCTGGAAAATTTAACAATTCTAACAGATACGTTTAAAAAATAATAAATCTAAAATAATAACTCCTATATATTCTATATAGCAGCTTGAATTTAAATAACAAACTGTTTGTTAAGCCTTGTTAACAGCAATTTGTTATAGCAACAATTTGTTACGATATTACCCCCCTCAAGTAGGAGCATGAAGATTTAGAATGCCCAACTTGCTCATCAAGAACTCGAATTGAGGTTTGCCCAACGCCTTGGTGAAGATGTCTGCGAGCTGTACTGTTGTAGAGACATAAGTGGGAAGGATATTCTGTTGTAGAACCTCATTACGGACAAAATGACAGTCAACTTCAATATGTTTGGTGCGTTCATGAAACACCGGATTTTTGGCAATGTGCAATGCCGCTTGACTATCACAATGAAGGACCATAGGTTTGGGTGAGCAATGCCAAGATCAGAAAGAATCCCTTTTAACCATTTGAGCTCACAAGTAGCTGTGGCCATGGAGCAATATTCAACTTCAGCTGAAGAGCGTGAGACAGTATGTTGTTTCTTGGTTTTCCATGAAATAGGAGATTGGCCCAGTTGGACAAGCCAACCAGTCACGGAGCGACGGGTAAGAGGACAACTAGCCCAGTCAGAATCACACCACCCGTGAAGCTGGAGATCACAACTACTTGAAAGTAATATACCTTGTCCTGGATTGCCTTTGAGAAAGCGAACCACCCGGAGAGCAGCGTCCCAGTGCACAGTATGAGGTTGCTGCATAAACTGAGATAAAGTGTGCACACTAAAACATAGCTCAGGACAGGTGAAGCAAAGATAGATCAGGCGCCTAACCAAGCGACGATAACGCTCCGGGTTATCAAGAAGTGGCCCAGAGTCTGAGGACAAATGGTGATTTTGCTCTAATGGAGTGCCAGTTGGTTTGGCGCCAAGAAGACCAGCCTCAGAGATAATATCAAGCGCATATTTGCGCTGACAAAGGAAAATTCCCGTAGGACTACGAGCAACCTCAATGCCCAGAAAATACTTCAATGTGCCAAGATCTTTCATGTGGAAGCAGTCACTAAGATATGTTTTAAATCTTTGGATGGCGGAAGAGTCATTTCTCGCAATAATGAGATCATCAACATAAACTAAAATAGCAAGCTGAATGCCATCGCGATGCAAAGTGAAGAGAGAATAATCAAGACATGATTGTTGAAAGCCATAGGAAACAAGAGCATGAGACAGCTTAGTGAACCAACAACGCAGAGCCTGCTTCAAGCCATATACAGATTTGCGTAATTTGCACACCTTGTGAGGTGAAGAAACGGTAAAACCAGGAGGCATGCGGATGAACACCTCATCATGGAGATCCCCGTGGAGAAACGCATTATGTACATCTATTTGATGGAGTTCCCAAGACTTGGCTGCTGCTATGGCAAGAAGAGTGCGTACAGTTACCATTTTGGCAACTGGGGCAAAGGTCTCTGTATAATTTTTGCCTTCCTTCTGATGATTTCCAAGAACTACTAAGCGAGCTTTAAAACGCTCAATGGTACCATCAGAATTGTATTTGATACGATACACCCATTTGCATCCAAGAGCTTTCTTACTAGGAGGCAATTGTTGTATGGTTCAGGTATCGTTTCGTTCGAGAGCATCAATCTCATCCTGCATAGCCTGTCGCCACCGAGGATCTTGTACTGCCTCATGAAAGTACAAAGGTTCCTCTCTGTTGTAAGTGCTGCAAGGAATTGCCTATGGGACACAGAAAATCGGTCACAATTAACATAGTAAGCAATAGGATATGGAGTACCTGAAGACGATGATGAAGCTGATGAAAACGGGAATGGACTCAATATTTGTGCAGTATTAGTGACGAACCCCTGTAATCTGGTAGATTTTTGTTTAACGCGATGTCCGCGTCCAAGAAGTGAAGAGGGAGGTGTATCATGAGAGGAATTCAGAGTTTCTAGCGCCTCTAGGTCCTGGGCAGAATCATCAGTGCTTGCAACAACAGGAGAGGACTCAGCGACAGTAGTGGAGGAAGCTGCAGGTTCAGTTATAGTAGCAGCAGAAGAAGAGATAGCAGCGTCCCTGATGTGTGCTACAGGAGATGTTGATGTAGCAGTAGGAACGTCCATTATAGAACGACTTGTGCCCCCCTAACTCGCAAGTCCTCTTCATCATCGAAGACCGTGGGCTCAGTAGGTATGAGAAGAGAAGAACTAAGGTCGTTTTCTGAATTTGTGAAGGGGAATTGATTTTCAAAAAACTAAACATCTCTTGATACAAAGAACTCATGAGTTTCTAAATCATAAAGTCTCCAACCCTTCTGCCCATAGGGATATCCCATAAATACACATCGCCTACTTCGACTTGTAAATTTTTCACCACGAGTATTATGATTGTGAGCATAACAGAGAGAGCCAAGAACACGTAGATGTGTATAGGAAGGCTCTTGTCCATTTAACACTTCATATGGGGTCTTGCCTTTTAGTATTGTGGTTGGAGTTCGATTGATCAAATAACCGGCTGTTAAAACACACTCGCTCCAAAATTTAATTGGCAAATTTCCTTGGAATCGTAAAGCACGTGCAACATTTAGAATGTGACGATGTTTGCGTTCGACTCGCCCATTTTGTTGAGTTGTGCCTATACATGAAGTTTGAAAAACGATTCCATAGTCCAAAAAATAATTTTTCATACAGATAAATTATGTTCCGTTGTCACTGCGCACAGTTTTAACCTTTTTTTCAAATTGCCTTTCTACCATAGAAAAAAAGTTTGTCAACGTTTTCGTGACTTGTTTCTTATCAGTTAACAAAAATATCCACGCGAACAATCATCAACAATAGTCAGAAAATAAGAAGCGCCACAAGATGAGCGAGTTCTATATGGACCCCATAAATCGCAATGAATCAAATCAAATATATTAGAAGCTTGATTAATACTCAAGGGAAATGTGTCTCTAGTTTGCTTTGCTCTTTGACAGGTATCACAAACTTTATTAAAATTGCTAACACTGCTGTCCTTTGAAATAAACTGAGTAGTTTTCCATGAAGGATGTCCCAACCTCATGTGCCACACTTTTAGTTCATGCATTCCTTCAACCTTGCATACTG